GTGGCCTTGGGTCACTAGGATAGCTACACTAACATCTGCAAAGGTTCCTACTCTTACTGGTGGAAAATCTGCCCTCTTGTGTTTTTTACCTGATCTTTATCTTACTTTCCATTTCTCCACTTCTGAACCCCTTTTTTCCCCTTGTACCTCCTTTCCTCCAGCCAGTCTCTTCCCAAATGAATGTTTTTCTAATTACTACTTCTCCACTGGTCCCAATTCTGCTACATCTGTACCCAAATTCAGTGGCTTCAATAACAATAATGAATGTGGCTTCAATGACAATAATCTCAGCTTTACCTGGTGTTTCTGATACATTTCTCTGAGGGGGGTGGGGCTTGCAAGACAAACTCCCCTACAGCTGTCTGGCTATCTTTACCTTACATACCCTCTAAGAAAAATCATTCCATACTTGAGCCTTGATACCACTACCCCATTCCAGTTAAGTACAAAGCACTTTCCCATCTTCTCTATGAAGGGTGTGCACATGACAGCAACATGTTTGTCAGTCTGTTTCTGTTTGCACACATCATCCTGCTCTCTCTTTGCTGATGGACTACAGTGCATTGCCCTTAGTGTGTCTTTCTGATAACCTACAGCTTTCCTGCAGAAACCTGAGAATCCAAGACCTGTTATTCCAGCAGGACATCTTACTCCCTCCCATAGGTTAATTCAAAGTGATCTGAGGGAGGACAAAATTCGTAGAGGTCGTGACCAAATGAATTGTGTACTACACAGAGGTACCATGGCTGTTACGTAGCACAGAAAATGAGTAGATTTAAATCCACAGTGCTGAAATTCAAAGAGGTAGAAGAAACATTGTTTTGTTCCCATCCCCCTCAAAGTTGAAGACCACTGTTAATGATGGTAGTACTCAACAGAGCACTCACTGTTCAGAGAGAGCATCCAAAATCAGTCAGCAGTGCCTGAAGTAACAAGCAGAATCAGAGCTTGCTGCTTTGAGCTGAGAGCAATGTTCACCCTCTCACACTTCTTGAGCCTGAGGTAGAGTGAGTGAGCATGCTACAAGGGAGATATTGTCCCACTTGAACATATCTGGTGCAGGGGAACATTTTAGGTACAACATAAAACACCACAGTTAACTTTAATGGGGGTCTGACTGTAGACAGTTAACTTCATTAGCCACGAAGATCAAGCAATCACCACAAATGTACTCTTCTGATCCCTAATCATTCTTGACAGCAGGTGGAATTTTGTTTTTTGAATTAGCAGTCCGTCTTCCCTCACATCAGAGATCATTTCCTCCCATACAGCCTCAGCACCTGGAGAACACAGCAGCGTTAATAGGTTTCATTTCCCCCTACTGATGCTGAGCAGACTGTGATTAATCACAGTGTCACTGGATCCTATTCTGATGAGAAAAGTAGGCTAAGCATTATTTATATTTCTAAATGTTAGGCCTTTGCAATATGGTTTTAACAGTCAGTACCCTGAATTTCTGTGATGCTAGTTTGTATGGCAAAATGCCAACAGTTTAGTATGTGAAGATCTGCTGGACAATTCTCAGGGCTGGCTGAAAGTACCTGGGCTCAATAAAAAATTTACAGGAATTATTTTCTCTGTTTCTTCTAAAATCTGTTCTCAGTAAAAACCCAGATGCCATTCCAGGTCACACTACGTTGCCAGTTGCTTCTTGCGTGCAATGAGCCTCCTCACAAGGTGCTGGTGACATTGCTTAGTTTAATACTTTCCAATAAAAAGGTTAAACTGTCAGAATTGTTCAGAACTTTTTCAGCATTGAACTGGGCTATTCTGCTTATAAAGCCTTGTGCAACAGTGAGCTCAGAGCCCTCCAGCTGGGACATCTGCCCTCCTGAGTGGTCACCTCAGGCAGTTGACAGCAACCTACTAGCATTTTCCAAACATGCAAGTTTTACCTCATTCATTAGAGACAAATATTTCCCTTCTCCCCTACTATTATTTTTTTATTGCAATTAAATGATTTGATAGTCTTCTGCCTGGTTGTTTACAAAGTTCCAGTGCTATCATATTTTGCAACTGCTCAAAGTCCTTTATGTTCAGAACCTTATGAGGAAGTCAGATGCTATAATTTTATTAACAGTTTCTTATTGAAAGCAGAACATCAGACTGAAGCTAATCTGTTCTGTTGACACAACAAGCTTCAAACTCCTGGCTTACTCTTTCCTAATCATAAGCCTAATCAAATTTTACTTGTTAATACGATCTGATTATTAACTGGCCCAGGAAGGAAACATTTTTTTTCCCCTAGTTATTCAAGTCAGGACCCTCCTGGGCTCACTGCCTAAATCCAGACACTGGCAAGTGGTGGTAAAGACCTGCCATCCTGTTTGCCAGGGTGGGGGTTTGTCACCGCTGAAATAAAGGATAAAACCAGCCATGAATGAGCAAAAGCCCAGCAAACGTCTTCCTTGTGGAAAGGCAAGGGCACCTCCATAGGTAGCACTTGGGCTAAACTGAGCATCTCTCACATAAGTCCCACTGTCTGATGGCTGAACAAACAGTAGCAACTATGACAGTTAAACACTACTGCAAAGGTCAGACAAGGAATCATGACACAAGGAGGACAGAGGAGGACAGGTTTCGGGGAAATGACAGGAGATTAATATCCTCAACACTTTTTCTTCTTTTGTACAACCTCTGTTAAATAGTCTTCACTGAAAATATACACTAGATGTGTATATTTGTGTGTAAACAAGCATTATATGTTACAAACACAGTAAGGTGAAACATGGAACAGAGGAAAAAAACATGCCTAGTGAATCCTGCCTTGTACTTCAGTTTTCATTGGCAAGCACTCAGAATGACTGAAGTGACTTTTTGGCTCTCCCGTTGGGGCAATGTGCTACTACTTGTAGATGGAGGAGGGAGGGGAAGGGCTTTGAACATTTCTGAAAAATGTGCACTTCTTCAGAACACAGTCTCTCAAAAAAGGGAGCAGTAACTAGAGTGAGATAAATTATAACATGCTTCCTCCACCACACAGCAGCAAAGATAAACTCTCAGTACAAATAACTTGATTTTTCTTTCTTTTTTTTTTTTTTTTTTGGAAAGAGAATGAGTAAACAAATCCATCTGATGATAGATGGACATCACCATGGATAGTTCAGGAAACAAAGTATTAAAAAAATAATTCTAATTACTGCAAATGTTAGTATATTTAAAGCATTTGAGGGTCATCTATCAAAATTAAAGCATACTGTGATTAGAGAACCACATTAGGACAGGATACATCTTGCATTACAAGGGAGCTTTCCAAATTAAAACCAACATACAGGGAAAAATGTCCTTCCTTTGAGCTTTTACTGAAATCTTAGTCAACTTGTAATTAATATGCATACAGGATGACTTGTAACTTGGTGGGTCATGTGCCTTTAAAAACTTGGTAATTTTAATGTCATTTTTATTAATATGATTAATGCAAGCCAGTTTGTCTGATGGGAAGGAACAGAAGCAAATCAAAGTTAGCTGTCTGCTTCATTTAAATTCAGATTGGTAGGAATATACACTGTTCTCTGGCCTGAGATATCAAACAGAAAGATAAAGAGAAAAAACCCCACACCTCAGGGAAATTTAACCATTATTTACCGAAGAGGGTTGGAAGTTGTCATCCATCTAACGTGGCTTGTTCAACCGAACTTTGGGACATAATCGTACCTTCTGCAAAATGCCAAGATAATGGATAAGGATTTCAAAGGAGTTTTATTAAAAGACAATACTTTGCAGGGTGTAAAAGAGTTTTAAATTGACAAACACCCTCCAATAGTGACCTAGAAAATCAGAGGGACAGTTTAATCCACACTGCCTTGATTTAGGCTCACTAGACTCACAAAATATCTGCTGAAACATAGAGCTGCCATTTATGACAAATAGAGCTTCTCCTATAATTTGACACCCTATTATGAATGAGCATGCAACGCTGCAACTCAGGCTCAGGAAAAGAGGAGATAGGAGCGGTTGGCATCTCTGAAAGCCAAGCCTGCAGTGTCTCAGATTAAAACATTGCAGAGCATCATTTCCACTCAGCCAGAGTCCTTTTGCTATTGAACAGCACTAGAACACGGGTGATGAGACTGTGAGCCTCAAGTCTACATGCAGCCTGCTGAGACAGGTAATATTCACCCTGCAGCACTGTTGCAAAGTTGCCCCTTTTGCTGTGGCTTTGCTCTCTCTCAAAGCCCCCACAGCTCCTCTTCCTTCCCCTCTGCTGCTGGCCCTGGCATAGCATGGAGTAAATGCCTTGTGCATGCCAGCAATCCTGCAGAAAGTCCATTTTTTTGTGTGTTTGCTACACATTTGAAGATTGTAGGCAGAGCCAGCCTTGGTTTTCAGTACCAGTTTTATCTCAGGGTTTACAACATACCTGCAGTAAACCCTACTCACATCAGGAGGATGCATCTGTCCTTGATGTCCTCCTGTGCACAAGCACAGAGCAGGGGACTGAACATGCAGGGGACTGGGTTTTTCAGAAAAATCCTGGGCAAGGCTGTGTATAGGCACAGAGCCTTGCCTGTGCAGATCTGTTCAACTCAGCTTATCAGGAAGGTCCTTCACCAGAGGACAGAGTTAAGCCCCTTGCTTTATAGGACACGGGCTTCTAGTAAGACACTGGTCAAACAGCTCTGAAGTGGAGAAATCACTATCCATATACTGAACTAATTCTGAACTCTGATTGGAAAGTCTTCACAGAGAGAAAGCTGAAAGAATGGAATGAAACCAGTGCTGAATTGAGAGCCCACGTTTGCAGGCAAGCACTATAGATACTGCATCAGCACTGAGTCAGCAACTAAGGCTCACAGTAAAAGTTTGGACACAGCATGCCTTTGGATAGGTTAAGTGCACTAGACAGTCCATACTTCATCACTAAAGCCGTCTTCAGAAGAGCTGTGCATCCACCTATCAAGCAGTTCCTGGACTCTGCTTGTTATTCCTGCTTTTACTAACAAACCCAACTACAATGAGGTTAAGGCTCTTTTTACTCTCCCCCTTCCTTTGCCTCCTACCTGTTTATCTCTAGTATGATCTCCCTCCTGGAAAGCCTCTGCGCAGCTAGTTTTGGTCCTGATAGAAAAAATAAAAAATAAAAAAAATCAGTCTTCCTGCAAAAGTCTTTTTTTCCTGTCATTAAATTCCCTTCAAAGCATTTCAATGGCTATAAATTTCTCCCACTGGCTTTATAAATTTACCATAGCTTTATCCTCTGTCTTCACTGCTGCTGCAATTCTACCTCCTTTCCATCTTCAACTTTGCTTTATTTGATCACTGGTGTCCCATTTGGTTTTGATCTCATGGTCATAAATGGGTTGTGATATGACTTCCAGTCTTCCTTAAGCATGTGATTGGTACAGGTAAGTAAGACAAAAGGAGGACAAAAGTATCCAAGTTCTTGCTTGACTCACACACTCTTGAAAAAGATGCCAGCAAATGAGTGTGCAGGTAATATCAAGAGTGTGTTTTCAGAACTGACAGTACCCAGAGTGCACACAGCACTTTCTGCAACAGAGAAACCACAGCAGCTGCAGAGCTGATCTTCCATCAAAGCACATTTACAGTAAATTTTTCATTTCCAGGGCAGAGTCAAAGATACCAACCCTCTACAGCCAAACAGTGCACAAGAATATTAAAAAAAAAATAATAATTGTGCAGATAGCACACGAAAGAGGTGGCATACCATTAAACAATCTCTTCAAACAACACTGAGCAGCTTGAATCCTCTCCTGTCGAGTAACAACCAAGTTTTCACAAGGCAGAAACTGGATCATTTCACAGCATACAAACATACCACATTTCAATACAAAACTTCAGATTTGCTAAAAAGGGGAGAAAAGACTGTAGAAAAGAAAAAAAAAGGCAGAAAAAACCTCCATTATTTTCCTGGTCTATAAAATGAGTCCCTTCTCTCTTTAACATCATTTCTCTGCACTACTGCAATCTGCAAGCTTTTACACATTTGAGCTGGTTTTCATATGCCTAGTTCAGTGGGCTCCTGTTTAAAGTGAAACTACATGTTGTTAACAGTCATTGTGGAGAAAAGTAGATGAGTTTCTATCATTTGCGTCCTCTGATTCACCTTAGGAAAACAGCTTTGCACCATAGCTTTCCTGGCTATCACACTTTACTACAACCCAGGGTACATGCTAATATTAGCATATTCATTTAAAAAAATGAAATAAAAAAGTAACAGGAAAACAGGGCATCTCAGGCTGATAGCAGCAGTCACATTAGGACTGCCTTAAAAACCAGCCCTCATCTGGTGTTGACACAGAGCAGCAATGGGCTGATCCATTGCAGTTGTACAGCCCACACCCTCAGCAGCTGTACCAAAGCTCATACCAAAGACCACTTCATGCCTTCTTCCTGAGACTCCTCTAAAAGTGTGTTTAACTTGAGAGATCCCACATGTTCACAGCCCAAGACTCCTACAATCGAGCACTTTGCCTGTAGATTAGGAGTTACTATTCAGCATCACTTGGAACACTGAAAAGGTGACAGAACTACTGAAACATACGGACAAGTATGACTCCAGCTAAAAAAAAAGACAAGCCACTGACACATTTAAAAGCTTAATGCTCTCAACATAGCACTGATACTTAGTGCAGAAAAGGGACAACTGCACTTGAAGCAGGCACTTACAGAGCTGGTCAGAAAGCACACCAGGTACTTCAGGCTGGCACAAACAGCCAAGGAACAGCTGCTAATGAGACAACAGTTGCTCACTGTGAAAGACAGAATGGGTAAGAAAGAAGTCAAATATTGTTATTGTCACTGAATCATAGAACAGAATCATAGAATCAACTGGGTTGGAAAAGACCTCCAAGGTCATCAAGTCCAACCCTTGATCCAACACCGCTGTGGTTACTAGGCCATGGCACTAAGTGCCACATCCAGTCTTATCTTAAAAACCTCCAGGGACAGAGAATCCACCACTTCCCTGGGCAGCCCATTCCAATGTCTGATTACTCTCTCTGTAAAAAATTTCTTCCTAATATCCAACCTAAACCTTCCCTGGCATAGCTTAAGACCATGCCCTCTTGTCCTACTGCTGGTTGCCTGGGAGAAGAGAGCAACCCTCACCTGGCTACAATCTCCTTTCAGGGAGTTTTAGAGAGTGATGAGTTCTCCCCTGAGCCTCCTCTTCTCCAGGCTGAACAGCCCCAGCTCCCTCAGCCTCTCCTCATAGGACTTGTGCTCGGAAGTCCCTAGCCAATGAAAATTGTAAAGGAATAGATCACAGTGTGATGTGAGGATCTTGAAGAGAGAGGCAGAAGCTCTCCGCAGCTGTAGTGGCCAGTAAGGGCGCAATGGCCAGTAAGGGTGGGAAGATACAATTTCAAAATTTACCCAGGAAAGTCTTAATAACAGCGGAATAGTTTCATAATGAGCAAACAGAAGGGAAGAGGGAAGCTTAGAGACTGTATAAGATGAACCAAGAGAAAAATACGAAGCCTGAGACTGAAAGAAGTTGAGAGGAGACAACTAGCCAAACACTATGGGAAGAGAGCTGCAAGAGTATAATTCAAAAATGTGCATCTGTTTTTACTGAGAATGGGACTGGAAGACAGAATGGAGGTCCCTAATAAGGTTTATGAAGTATCCCCATGCCATATTTCAGGTGTTTGAAAATGAAATCTAATTGTTTTTCATAAATACCTTATATGTGAAATACCTGATTAAGGTCCCTTATATGACCTTAATCACAGAATCACAGAATAGTTTTGAGTTGAAAGGGGCATTTAAAGACCATCTAGTCCACCCCGTCTTGCAGTGGCAGGGACACCTTCCATTAGACCAGGCTGCTCAGAGCCCAGTCCAACCTGGCCCTGAATGTTTCCAGGGATCAGGCATCCACCACCTCTCACAACAACCTGTTCCAGTATTTCACCACACTCACTGTAAAAAACCTTTTCCTTGTATCTAATCTTAACTGATACTCCTTTAGTTTAAAACTGTTACCTTGTCCTACTGCAACAGACCCTGCTAAAAAGTTTGTCCTCCTGTAGGTAACACAGTGCTCCTTGCATCACATACAGAAAGACAACCTATTAAACAAAAAGAGAGATAATAGTTAAGGGAGAAAGGAATCAAAATGTAGACACCCACATGATGAGAAGCGCTGAACCTTGGCCCATGTGAATTTTGTTTGCCCAGCACAGGGAGGCAAATGCCATTATTTTCACCTACTCTTCAAACTTTTCATGACATCTCCTGCTGAACCCGTGATGGTTTGACTCTCCCTTTAAACTGAACTAATCAAATTCTTGTCTTTGTAAAATGACCAAAAGTCACCAAATGAGAAAGCCTGGAGAAACAACAAAACTGACCCTGTAATGCTTTGTTCCAACACTTACAGTCTGGCCTATCTCTCATTGCTCATAGTACATTTGCAGAAAGGGGAAATTTCTTATTCTCTAGAAAGAAGGAGGAACTTCCAGTCTGCCATCTCCAGCATCGTGCCAACCTTCTCTTTCAAGAGTGTAAATAAATAAGCTACACTTATGATGTGTATTTAAATTCCAATTATCATACAATTACGCTACAACTATGCTTCTTGAGAAACAATATGCTCTTACAGCATAAACAAAACATCTCCAAAATTATGGAGATTGCTTCTTAGAGACATAAACCATCTTCATATATTTATTACTGCTTGCCACAGGGATACTACTTTACACCCAAAGGATGCTTCTCTCTATATATGTGAGTTCTGGTATCACCATTCCTAAAATAGCTTTCAAAGCATTTTCAAAACCAATCTTGTGGAACCTGCCCCCTGCCAAACTAATCTGATAGAGTTTTCATAAATAAATGAGGTCCTCCATTCCCAGTGGGGAAGGCAAAAGTCAAATACCTCAGAAATCACAGATTTCATTCAACAGAGTTTAAAAATATAGAGAACTTAATTTTTAAATATTTGAAAATAATTGTGAAACCCGCACACAAACCCAGACAACTAAATATCCTGTCACTGTCTTTATGTGGTATTTTCAGTTTCAGTCTTAAAGTCCAATTTCTCTCTAAACTCAAAGGCAAGTCCTAGCAACATTTCCTCTTGTCAGGATATAGCTTTGTAAAACCGATCCCTTGGTTTGAATAAGGCCCAATTCATTGATGTAAATGTAGAATGTAAAAAAGTGCCAAAGTCTTAAGGACTTTCCCCTTCTTATTCTCTAATCCAAGAAAGCCCACTGCCACTGCAGCTTCAAAGTAGCTGACATGCAGCCCGGAGATCAGGCAAGCATTTCCAAGCTTATTATAGGCTGGTTTTCCGGGAGTCTCCTTCTCTCTACATGTTATTCAGTGGATATGCAAATGAAGTATTGTCCAATTTGTTCTTGTGTTTCTTACAGAAATGCAGGAGGAGTGCTCTCCTTTGTACACTCCTAAATTGCCCTACTGGCCTGGCTCACAAATTTCTTCAATCTCTAGATGTGTTTCCGTATTTAAACTGAGTGAAACACACATAAATTGTATTTCTTGAGTGACAAAACTCACAGAAGTCTTACTAGTACCACAGAAAATAAAACCTCTACAGTACAAAGAGGTCTCTCTAAACCTCTACAGTTTAGAGAGATTAATTATGGAGAGATATAGAACTAGAGAAAGGGCACCTCCCTCCACTGTCTCTCCCCCATTCTGCCTTCTACACACTGAAACACCTATCTAGGACATATTACAGAGTTTCTCTAGATAAATATGTTTAAATTGTGAAATGAAAAGCAGCTATGGATTTTAGGTGCACCAACTGAGAAATCTTAAAATATGCTGGAAGATCAGGAGGTCACTTTTGAAACTGAGGCATCCCAATTGCCCCCCAAATAATTTCATTATATTCTGTGCAATAACAATTTTCAGCATGCCTGATGGCCGTGTGATTTATTGCCAATGATGAGCATAAAGCACAATCACAGCATGACTGCTCTGTAGTGGGAAAATTATTTCCAACACCGCACTGAAGAGTGAAACCCAGATTTCAATGCTGAGGAAAAAAAGCCACAAACTTCCATTTCAAAGTAACTTGTAAGGTTTCAACATTTTCTAGATTTAATAGGTTCTCCAAATTGGGCTCTGAGACAAAACTGCCGAATGACAAATAAAGTTTCTTTGCTTAGTCATTCATTTCCAAGATTTGGTGATCTTTCTCACTACCAATTTCAAACCAAACAATTTTATGAATATTTTCTAAACTTAGATGCCAACTAAACTTACTTTAATTATAATATAAAGAAAAAAAGACTCACTCTTTCTGAGACTTGCTGTTTAATTAAAACAGCATTAAATGAAATTATTAAGTTGTATTATCTACCACCACTTGTGTTTTAGTTAATTATGTTATTTCCACTGAGAGAATTAAATGAGAAAGAATTTTGGTGAAAGAATGTTCATGACATGAACCCTTTTCTTTCTTCCTTCTTTTATTCCTTTTTCCCTTCAAGAGTATTTCCTTCTCTTCCTTTGCAGGTACCTTTGTCACATCCCTCCTTCCCATTTCCTCTGAGAAACCTTTGTACCCTCTTATCACTGATGTGCCAACAACAGATATACAACAGGGTCTTGTTCAGACCGTGTAACTGCTGAACAAGCATCAGTAGGTTGGTATCATTTCAGAAAGTACAGAGGGAGCAGAAGTTTTCCTAGTTGTTTGTTAACCAAGAAGGAAAAAAAAAAGTTGGAGAATATGCAACTCCCTCAAAGCCACTATTCAATATATAACTTGAAAAAGCAACAAAAAGATTACCAGCATCTTCCTTTTTTAAAAAGCAGTAGCTTCCAAAAACTCAAAATAAAAACTTCACCATAAAACCTACTCTCTTAATAAATAAATAGATATACAGATAGATAAAATGCTTCTCCAGAAATCCTTTTTATCCCACAAACATGCTACTAACAGATCAGGCAACCAGATCCACTCCATATATCTCATACAGCTCTCTTGACAGACTTTGCTAGTCTTGAAAGGGAGAAGACCAGGCGGCCTCAAGAGGCATGGATATTGCTGTAATGGAGACAGCTCAAATACAACGATGATACAGTATAAATAATACAAGGTGCCATAAGGGCAGATCATTGAAAAATAAATTTCAGCTCACCCAACCAAGAAAAATCAATCCACATTGCTAAGAGAGTTTGTACATCAACAGGAGTCTCTTTGTATGAGCTGTTATTCCACACTGCTGTACTCATCACTAGCAAGAAATTAACCTTTGTCCTCTACACCCCATCAGAGGAACCTCATGTACTTCACAAGGCAAAGATTATTAACCACTAAATAAGCATGGAAATGACATGAGTTTCCGGATAGGTTGAGTATTACAGCATTATGCTCATGGCACCACACATGAATACAGCAAGTTACACAGCCACAAAAAGTGAAAAGTATACCCACATCGTCTTTGAACGAAGCCACAGTCAATTTTAATTTGGTCTCAGGCCCTTAGAAATTGTTACGGAGTGTGGTTAAAAAGGGAACCAAGAGCCAGTTTGATGGCAGGTTCACAGCCTGCAGTGATGCCCCAGTCAGCCAGTATCTCAACATCCTAAAAACAAAGCACAGATACAATGACGGCTCTGCCTCTCCTAATAATCTTGGAGACTGTTTACTCAGCAACACCAACACATCACAGGAAAGGATGCCAATGCCTGAAGACAAGTCTGTTTAACTCCAAGCCAGCTTTGTTTATTGCTAACATATTTCCTGCTAAAACCAAACCTCAAAACATATAGAAAAGCCTTGTGGGGCCTGGAAACCACATGTTAAATCACAGGTAAAAAGAAGTTGCTATGAGAACCGACTGAGCAGCTCGCCATACAGAACTGAAGAGCTGAGCCAGACACCACAACAAGGGGTGGGGGTGAAGAGAGTGGTACAAGGGTAAACACTAAAATAAGGTTATTAACTATGGCACAAATCACTCTGGAATCATGCAGGAACATAAAGCCCATCCATGTAACTATGCTCTGCCACGAAACAAAATAAGATTTCCCCCACTTCAGTGTACCCTCACACACTCAAAGTTGCAAATTTGAGTGCACAACTCAAATTCCCTCTTTCATCCACACTCTGAAATGTGAAACTTGTCTAAAATGTCATTCAGATATATGCTTTTATCTTCTCTATGTGAGAATTTTCAAGTTACCTGATACTTAATTCTCTGACAAAGGTGTAGAGTCAATCAGCCACTCATGGTAATCAGTACATCTGCAAGTGAATTCCCAAATTCACTGACACATCTTACAAAATTTAACCCTTCCATCTGCACCTCACTTAGTACTAGAAGTAATTAAATACATTTCTGACTTTCCAAGCTACAAACAAAATTTGCTGGACAAACTCCTTAACTCTCATATTGAGACACAAGTCATCTCAAACACAAGGACTGTTCCTAGGAGATGTCTTTGTTTCCTTTCACATATCAGAAGCAGAATAGGGATCTGCTGAAATAAGATTTCATCTCTGTCCCTGACAAGCAAATCATGAAACGCAAGAGTGCATTTCCAGGTCAAGAAGAGAACAGAAAAAAATGCCAGTGACATTAACACAGAAAACAGGCTTTCTCACAGAATTCTGAATGCATTTTGGATGACTATGCTCACAGGGACCATTTGGGTATGGCACAGAGAATCTGTCTAATGGTTGAGACAGACAAGGCCAGCAGAACACTTTATGAGGGATCATAGAAGAAAATACAGATGTAGTTGCAAGCTGAGATGGGAAACTGCCCTTATGTAGATGAAGGATGTGGCAGTGGTTGATGTCACAGAAGAGATTTGGGAGGGAGCAGAGAAGGATGCCAAGTGATACATCTACTGTGGGATAAAGGTCAAGCTGAACTCGGTCCAAGCTAAGTTGTATGAGAGCAGGATAATTTGAATTTTAGTGTGTGAGTCTAGATAATAAAGGTACTACTGATAACAGCCATAAAGTAAAAAGAAAGAAAGCTTTTAAATAATCATTCAATAATTTTATATGGACCATGCTGAATTGGTAATGAAGATGTAAACAAGAGGAAACACTTGAAAAGTCACATGTTCAGGCAAGATAATAGCTTCAGAAAAGTACACCAGTCACCACCTTGAGGTATTTCTGAATGGCTCACAGTGTAACTTATGTTTGTAAAGAATTTGAAATTCAGGGACACTCAATTAGCAAATGAAAAAAAGAGTTCTCCGTAGGGCACTTATTGCATTGTGGTCTAATGAAAACTAGAGAGCATTTATTATTTTCAGTGTCCTAATCACTACAGATGCACAGAAGAAAGCTTTTTATTTCGGAGTAAATGTATGCCCCTCCCCAGCTCCCTATGGAGAAAAACTTGCCTTTTGAAACACAGATGAATGTTGTAGCTTGATTATGGTGCAGATTCACTTTCAGCAGATTCAGCTACCCAAAAGGAGCAGGTATTTTGCAAATGTGAGTACCAGAGAGCCCAGGTACGAACTCCCCAGGCTGGCATCATTTGGAATACTCCCTTCTCCATGCTTCACTAGACAAGCATGTACATAAATGTACATATACACATCCTTCAAGAACCAAGATGATGAACTTGAAAACAGGTGTTTCTACTGAAATCCTTATAAAGCTTTTGGTTGTTCTGCTAGCATCAAAACACTTTGAGAGGAATGCTACTTCAAACTTCCCTCTGCTGCAAAGACCCTGCCATCCTGTACCAAAACACTGTTTCTTTTAAATAAGTGTGTCCTTGGAGAAGGACACAGTAATTTGAAGATTGGAATAATCTTAACAAATACTCCTTTATTTGCACTAGATAATAAAGGCAGTTCACAATAGCTAAATCTTGCATGCCAACAGGAGAGAGGGGTTTGGGTTGTTACGATAGAATTATCTTCTTCTATCTAGTTCTCTGCTCCTCTCCCATCCTGCTGGCTACCATGGCAGTTATTGAAAAAAAAAGCTCTTTTTCAACAAGTACTGTTTTAGTTGGACTGGCTGATTCCTTCACAGATCAACACAGATGCAAGCAGCTTCACAGTCAGAAGATCATTATTCAATGAGTTTGTGCTTTTGCTTCTGGCAGGTCTAGGAAGCAAAAATCCTGTCACAGTTCACAATATTCTGAGGTTTTTAAATTCCTTAAAATGTTCGGGATAATTATGCAATCAAGTTTCACAAATTTAAGATTTGTTTTGTGATTTAAGATTTGGGCATTAGGATTTATTTTGAATAAGAAGTTCCACTGCTAGACATGAAAGCATCTAAGGACAAATGGAATGTTTAGATGCCACAGTAACACACTATTTTAAAATCTAAATTTATGATTTTCCTGATGGAGACTCATTGAAACTGATAAATTGAGGCAAGTATCTTGAACAGAATTAATGACTGGGTCCATCAAACAAAAATTCCTGGAACAGTCCTAGAGCACCCAGCTGCTAAAATTTGATTACAACACAAGGTGACAGCTGACTTTCACATCAGAAGAATAAAACTGGAATAGGCACCTAGAGTACTACAGACAAGTATACCAAACAGTTAACTTCTCAAATTAGTAATATGACTAGTGACCTATATAATGGGCAAAGGTTTAACACACTGAGGAAAGTACCATGAAAATCTCTGCACTGAAGGTCTAATCCAACCTGCAGGGAACAGTGTTGGGGTTTAAATAGTAATAGTTGTATTGTCGTGCATAGCACAGTGGTTAGATTTTTCCAGAATGCTGGAATACAGTAACAGGGGAAAAAAAAGTGTTTTACACGCCTAAAATATTTTTTACATTAAGCGTACAATGTTCGAGAATGCAAATGCACAGTATATTAAAAAAATATCAGGGCGAGTTTATTGTAATTTTCTTCAGGAAAAAATCCTATAAATTAATATCCAGTTAGACTATATGTTCACCACTTTAGCTTCTAAATATTTAATGGTCAGCATCTTTCTGACATACAACTATTAAATGGACATTCCAAAGTTACTGCCAATTTATAAATTTTTACTACTGAAATTTAGAGATGAGGTAACGGAAATATAAAGCAAATGTCTCAATGCAGTGATTCACCTTATTTTAGAACAAGGCCTCATTTTTGTGACTTACAAAACAATGGTTTTTAAGGCCCCTACACAGGACAGGACATGTTTCTAAAGTGTCATATGAAAAGTGATAATATTCAATAACAGACATAGAGTCTTGAAAAATCACAGACCAACCCAACATTCTCTTAACATTAATTTTATAAAATACCTTACATGAACAGATAAAGAACTTGAGCATACATAATAACCAAAATTTAAAAAGAATGTTGAATAAAATATAAATTAATTGAACACATCACTAAGTTTGCCACATGTTAGACAAGTTTATAAAAGGCATTTTCAGATAAAATAGTTATTTGAAAGAAAATCCTTCAAAATGGAAACTACTGAAGTCCTTTTTCAAGAAGTCACTCCTAAAAGCTCAAAATTCCAGGTCAACAGGTAGTACCTGAATTTGCTTTGAATACGGTGTTCATTTTCTTCAAAATTTGTCAATATTTAAGACACAAACTTAAATGCTTTCAGGTCAGAGTTGTCAGTGCAAAGTAAAGCTTCAAGCTGAAAATTAGAGAAATATAACAGAAGAAATGATCCTGGTACAAAACTTCCTAAATTCACATTATAAAAAAGCTGTGCCAGATGCACTCTTGAGATACTGAACATTAACAAATTTTACCAGTGGCCATTTTAGGGTTCCAGCCACACCATTAACATGGTTAATTATATTAAATTAATTTCTCTTATCCCAATTTAAATTCTTTCTACTCATAGTCTTTGGAAAAGATCCGTGCTGCTGACGTCCACTTGCTCTGTTCAACTTCTGATTCAGCCAATTTGCTCTAAATGCAGTGATTTACCAAAAGGAGAGAAAAGATGAGGCCAACAGATATCACAATGATGGTCTAAAGGCTGAAATATTGGAAGAAATATGACAGCACATGTTTCTGAGTTTAACCAACTTTGTTCATCCAAGCACTCTCACTCAAGTCAGTCTTCCTTAAAGTTATACATGTGCATAACACACTGCCAGGCTCAAACCCTTAAGTCTTTCAAAGGTTAAAATATGTTTAGAGAACTATGTCTTTAGAGACCTAGACTGCAGCCAGATTAATTTATTTTAAGCCTATTAATTCCTGCAGAGTAAACATCAACACTCCAGCAAAGCAATTTCGCTCTGTTTGACTTTAAAACTATTAACCAAAACA